TCAGGATGGTTTTGGCCACAGACATGAAGTTCTTGGGAAAGGGAACTCCTGTACGACAGAGTTGGAAAATGGTAATGTCAAGAGAAGAGCATGTCCTATTGTGAACCTCAACTCTTTGAACCCTAGATCGGAGAATGACTGCAGCCAGTCTGGCCTTCATGTGAAACACATGATCAGTTGAACTGAAATCAGGTGACTGGAAATAAAATTACACTGCTTTGCCTTGTCTGTATGTTTAGGGTTGCTGTCCTGCTTCACTGTTCTAAAATTAGCTGACTATGCATAAAAACAGCTGTAAGGCCTACACTGTTCAGGATGTGAACAACATCAGACAGCTGAAAGTCAGCTTATTGACTACACATTCTTCACTGCATATGTAAAATGTCAAAGTAGAGACTAAATCAAAAAAAGTCATCAGTCAAACACTGATTTTATAGTAAGTACTCTGGAAAAATACACCCTGAATGGCTATTACTCACCCATATCACAACATAAGAGACTTTTAGTAAAAAAAAAAAAAAACAATTCGAAATCCATCCTCAAAATGGTAAAAGGCACAGAAAAGTTTCTCAATTCATAATGATAATATGCTTAAAAACTACAATCAATATCATCACTAAAAGCTTAAAATGCCAAACTGCTAAAAATAAAAAATCTGTATCGGCAAGAATCAAAACTCACCAATCTTGGAGGGGAAAAGTGTCTCATCATCCAGCTGATCCTGCACCCAGGTCATCAGGTAGTCGATGTACTTGGGCGCAGAGCATTTGATGGGCTTCTTAATATTGGTGCCGTCAGCCCAGTGATACTCATATCTATAGAGAATGAGCACAATTAATTGCCACCTCTCTCACATTACTGAATTAATTCATTAGTTAAAATATACATGCACTCATTCTGCCTTTCCGTAAGTATATGAAAACATCATTCGGTAGTATATAATCTAAAAAACAGAGCAGGAGTGGGAAATGCAAAAGTATTTACAGTCATATCGTCGCTGGCCTCTATGTCAACAGGAAGTAAACCCCGGTCTCTTCCTCCTGATTAGAGACTGTACACAGTCTTGGCAGGAGAGAGGATTGAGGAAGTGCCAAATCTAGATTCTAACTAAACAGTTTCTACAGGGACCACATGCAAAGTTTAATTCCTGTTTTCCTCATGTGACATTCAGATCATACATTTCATTTACTTAAACCGTCTCAAACATTAAAAATCTGGATCTATGGCTTTGTTCTTTTATTCACATTATTTCCAAATCCTAGCCTAAAGGTCAAATTCTGTTTCATCAACTACGCTCTATAGCGAGTGTGATTCTGACTTCAATGTAATGTAATAGAAACCCTGAGGTCACAAAGCTTCACTTCAGTTGTTCTAATTAATTTTGGTACAGTCTAATTCAATACAAGCTGGGGGCCTTTGTTGCATCTCTCTCTCCCCTCATTTCCTGCTGGCTGTCTACTGTCGGTTCTCTAAAGCAGAAGAGGCCTCAAAAATATGTCATAAATTTAGTCCGAATTTACTTAAACTTCACTGTTATTTACTAAGTGGCTTTAATCAGATAGTAAGTTTCATCCAGTACAAGTTGTGGATTAAAAAAGGATTCATCATGGCTTCAAACACTATAACAGGTCTCTCTCATAGCTCATTAATAAACTAATACACCCCATAATTACTGATAAATGCTTAATGTGCCTTTAATAGCAGGTGTTTATTATGAAGCCTTGTGTCTTGAACCACAAATCATTTATAATTGATTATTGTTGTTATTTGTGCTTATAATGTTCTTTAAAGCACTTGAGCTTAGTGTGACACATCTTGTGTCTCAGCTGACTTGTGTGAAGTTCCTTCTTTCCTACAATTACGTAAACACTTAAATCAGCCAAAACTTTTCCTTTGACACATTTCACCGCTTTTTGAGCTGTTACCAGCTTACAAAAATAAATAAAGTACACATAAAAAAAACAAATAACTAAATATCAAAAAAAAAAAAAACTCTTCTCCCTACCATCAGTTTTATTTTCTGTCTTCACAAGCCTTGGAGTAAACCTTTTCAAACTGTTTTGAAGATTTTTTAAACTTATAAATATATCATGACTTCATGATTTATTTTTGGCCAGGAAACTGACTATAATATATATATATATATACATATATAAACACAATACCTGCACCGGTGGTGTTTCACAGCAAAGGAGCTGAATATTTGTGCAATCAATGATTTTACGTTTTACAATCTTATTCGACTGTTTTTAGAAATTTGGCCCAAAAAGGCCTAGTTAATCCACTATTGTACAGTGCTGTAAAGCCACACTTTTTTACAGGCAGTGTATGTACAATAGGTCTTTTCACAGCAGACGTTTGGATTTGTCATAGTAGACACACGTGCTACTAATAAAATTAATGATGGCTCTGTTCTATTCAAGTGTCCCAGTAAACTTTGACCATGTGACAGTCAACCAGCATGCAAAATACCAGTACCTTTAATAGCTTTTCCCACTATGACATGTCAAAATGTCTTCTGTAAAAAAAAAAAAGGGCCTAATAGAAGTTGTGAACTCAAAAGAAGCTGCATGAATAACAAGGACACTGTTTGCTGTTACCTTGGTCCAGCAGACATCACAGAGCAGCTGGTCTCAGTGCAGAACTCGGTGATGGTGCCGTACAGCATGTTGATCTGGTTGAAGAAGTCCACCGCTGAAAGAAAGGGTAAATTGTCATTTTTTGTTCTCCATTTTGTTATGTTTATAACAATAATGAAATAATATTAATACTCTTACCAGTTTATGATCTGTATTTGAGTTATCTACAACCATAAATTATTATATTTAATAAGGCATCCAGTTGCTTTCCCAACCTAATGCATATGTATGCTGTCCTGAAAAACTGGTGATGTGAATACATCCACATTTTTACATATCCTGTATATATGCTGCATTTAAACATGTCCTCTCTCAATATTTCTATTCTTATTGAAAAGACACAAATCAAAACATTCCATATTTTAGGTACACTGGCCCTTACTTTTAGTTTTATGTAAGTCTGCAGGTACCAAAGATGTCTACTTTCTAAACAATCTTGATGCTGCTGCCAATAATTTACCATTGTTTCAGCTGTGTGTGTTTGTATGACCCTACCGCTATTCTCATACATCTAAGAGATGCAAATGCTCATCTTGGTAGTTAGTAGTTTGTGCACTGAGTGATGTTTTCTATAAATATGTCAATTGTAATCATCAACTCACTGTTGACAGCAATCCACTCGTTGAGATCCTCTCCCTCTGGCAGCATGACAGCCTGCCTCAGGTTCCCACTGCCCAGTGTTGCTTCAGCATGTTTCAGCAGCTCATACTGGTGGGAGCCCTCTGGGATGTTCTTCTTCGGCTTGAAGGTCTTAGATGAGCGACTGCCACTGCAAAGAAACAGACATACGTGGAGCTGAGCAACTGTCTGTACACAAGACAGTGAGATTTTTAAATGGCTTGGGTAGGAGTAGATGCTCCACTTGGGCCTTCACGTGTGATGATCCTTCCTGTCTGATCTAATCAGCAGCTGCAGGAAGCTTATCTATGAACTTGATGCTTGGCTACCACATTTTTTCATGTCAACGTTCAAGCCTTGTTTTGGACCGTAGTGTGACAGAAGAATGACTGTATAATCTGTCATGTAGAAGAAGTGTAAAAGGTGATGCCCCTCTTGGTCCAAGAGACAGGAAATGCGACAGTATCACAGTGTCACTGTAAACAACGGAACAGTTAATTACATCGCTCGACATTTAGTAACCTCTCCGCGAGGTAAACACAGCAAAGGTGTGGATCATGACTGATATTACCACGCCTAATCTTATCTGAGTAAAAAGTAATAATATAAGATAAGTTGGCAAACCAAATGTGAGCTATCACCAGGCTAGCCAAGTTAGCACGTAACTAACCCAGTTAAAAAGTTATAGTTGGCCAGTGCTGAAAACTATAAATAAATACAGTTCACAGATATTGTTGCGACGACGAATGATAACCCTACGTAAGAAAGGTCGGTTTAAATGTGACCCTGACTTGTTAGTTAGCTGCTCTGTTTTCTGTAACGGTGTCTTATTTTAATAGTTACTTCCCTTGGTGGAACTTCGTAGAAGCGTAGCTAACGTTAACCGCAAGCTCCGGCTGCAACTTATCAAGCGACTACCAACTTTACTTACAACAGGAAGCTCATCTTGGCGAAACGGTCGTTGGAGAGCCTCGATTACAACTCTTAATCCTGGTTTAGTAAACAGAAACTTGTTTTATAATTACACACAACGAAATCACTTATCAGCGCTGCCTGCTAACAGTAACGTTCAGGCTAACATGAACTGCACCCACGGTGATTCTTCCTCTATCGGCTCTCAGTAGAAGCTCAGCAGGCAGACTGTCGCCCCCTCCCGTCTGCATGTAGCTACTACCACTCCCTGAAGTAGAGCTATACTGTTACAACTTTTAGCAAATCTAAGAGTTTGTATCCATCAATACACTTTTCACACACTTTAGAGTTTACCTTGGTTCAAATCAACCCAGACTCAGAGACCCTGATATTTTACTTAAATAGTATTTCAATTTAATCTACCTAATACTTCACTTGCACATTAAAGTGTTGTTGAAAAACTGTTATGAACCATTCTGTCTGCACAATTACTACTTTTACTTTTTTATGTTTAGCTGATAATGCTTCTGTATTGGTGTAATATATGTGTGTGTGCGCGTGCGTGTGCGCGCGCGTGTGTGCACGTGTGCGTGTGTGTGTGTGTGTGTGTGTGTGTGTGTGTGTGTGTGTGTGTGTGTGTGTGTGTAATAAATATATATATCTGCTAGGTATTAGACCGTGTCAGACAGACCTCCCCGCTGCGGTGGGTCCAGTTTATATCAGTGGAAACTTACAGTAATGTATATGTGTGCAGTAGAGGTGTGGCAGCAGATAACAGTGACGCAGGCACCATGCGTGGAGGGGGCAGGGCTTTAAAGCCTCTCTGCTCCTCTTCCCCTCTCACAGACATCTCTCTGTCAGCCCGGTAGTGGTGGTGGTGGTGTGGTGGTGTTTCGTAATCGTAATCGTAATCGGCCGTGGTGTCCCTGCTTCTCTCAGCCGGCAAGAATGGCAGCGCTCAGGACTCTCACGAAACTGTGCCAACACTCCCAGCATCAAGTCTGTAAACTGCACACGTCCGCCCTGAGGTGAGTGCGACCACCAGCTCTGAAACCTGATTTCACTGGGTACATTTCACCAAAAGTGTTATGGTATTACACGTTCCACTTTTACGACGTGCTCGGCGCTTCTCTTTCCACCGTGGGAAGATAGGTTTACGATTATTGGATACAAATCCAACCCTTGTCTACTATTGCGTGTGCATGAATAAAGTCGTGCGTGTTATTACGTGGTTTTGTTTGATTGTGTTGTACTAGTACTAAATGTCCGCAGATGGTCACATTTAGGCGCGCCCCTAGCGTTATGCCGGTAACATTGCAGGGAAACTGGCTGATGAAATCGGTCTGAACGCTTGCACCCTGTGGTTTGAGGAGCCAGGTTTCAGCTGGAGACCGAGGGGCTGATCTCTACACAGGGAAATAACATGCATATGGATTGTAACCATTATGCACTGGATGATATGAAATGATTTAAAATGTTTAAAAATGTATTAATTAAGGGATGATAACGTCTCTGTGCAGCATCCCGTGCAGGTATTGATTGGAAACGTGCTGAGTGCAGCGTGACTGAGATACATGTAATGAAATAATGTCTCAAAAACCCAAATCTCGTGTGGTTTCTGCACATGATCTGCAGCCCCAGAGTCACAAGATAGATAATCTAAAGCATGACACGTTGTGCATGATTTATTACCTCATTATATATATATTCAAATTTAAAGACTTCATAAATTAGATCTGGTAGAAAATATTATTTTGAGACAACAGCAAGGTCATCGTATTTACATAGAACATAATCATTACACATAAACTTAACATGCTTTATTTTAAAATGCACACAGCAACTAATAACATACAGAAGAATAAAACACCCCAGAAATAAAACATAACAACAGAAGAAGAAAACCCTACAAAAGACAACTTCCTTCTGAGGTGGATCATGGATATGTGGCCATACATCTGAAAACAGAGATTTTCTCCTCAGTCGACCAGCTTTGTATTTAAATTCATATGAGGTTAAAGAGCAGTTTGCTGCTCTAAAATCCTGACACATTTTTCTCTGGGACCTGGTACACTAGCCCCTGGCCTCACCCCATTTTCCCCAAAGATGTGATACTTTTCTGTGAGGTTTAATTAGTTATGGCACAATGAAAGGGATTGTTACATCACTGTTGATGGCTCATTACTCTTCAGTTATTAACTAACTGCTTTCTGTTATTGTTGTTATATAACAGAAAACTATCTTGGCGCTTTTGTTTGGAAAAAGCAACACGACAGCTCAACCCTGTCTATATGATCATAATAAAGAATGCTGTGCATCACTTTTAACCAGTCCTCATAAAAGATGCTCTTCCTTCCTCTTGTTTTTCTTTACACCAACCCTGGGACTCAAAACATTGTAACACTAAAGTACAAGTGCTGATAAAACATATGGCTCAGTCAGGTGGAGAGGTGCAGCCTCTAATTTTAGAGTCTAGAATTGGTGCTTGCCCAGGGTGAATGTTTGACATTGATTACAGGTTTCTGGTGTCAAAAGTTGCCCTGTTCAAAGGCAATCAAAAGGACTACGTCCAGCAGATGTGGATTTAGCATAGTACTATAAATATTATTCAAATAATTAAGCTGAAGGAATGTTAAAGTTATTTACAGTTATTTTGATGTAACTTTATTTTCACTTTATTTTTGGTTCAATACAGAAATTTTGCTGGTTAAAGCTTTAAAAAAAGTATCCAAAACAATTTGCTCAGTTTTCTTTGTTTTGTGTGATTTATTTTTTATTTTTTTAAATTGCTGGTGATCATGTTGATTGAGAAAATCATAAGTTGCACCCTTGCACAAATTCAGCCCTTATTTCTTTGTCTGAATAACAGCAGAACCGCAGCTTGTTAATATGTAATGTGTTGATTATTTTTCCTCTGACCCGGGTGTTTTTGCATTTACACTAACTCTCAGACAGGAGGCGGTGGTCATCTCAGGAAAGAAACTAGCACGGCAGATTCGGGAGGAGGCCCGGGCCGACGTGGAGAAATGGGTTTTAGCCGGCCACAGGAGACCCCATCTGAGTGTGATTCTCGTAGGAGACAACCCAGCCAGCCACTCCTACGTCCTGAACAAGACACGCGCTGCAGCTGATGTCGGTAAGTGAAAGACATCCTCATGTAAACACAATGATCATACACTATAAAACGCAAAAGAACAAATTCTTCTTTGCGCTTTGAGCCGTTTTCTCACTTCAACCTCCCACAGGAATCTCTAGTGAGACGATTCTCAAGCATTCAGACATCACTGAGGAGGAGTTATTGGACCTGATCTACAAACTCAACACAGACCATCGTGTGGACGGCCTGCTGGTCCAACTGCCTCTGCCAGGTACAGAGAGACTGGAACAGCGGAATAGAAAGACTGACAATGAGTATAGCGAGTCAGGCTGCTTTGTTTCATGGTTAAATATTAAAGTGCAAGTATAGGTCAGTCTATGTCTGGATTTTCTCGTAGGTTGCATTTGTAAACTTTTACAAACTCGTCTGTTTTCTTGAACAAAACGTTTGACGTGTAGTTGTCCTGACTGTAACTTTGTTGTCTTTATTTTCTGACAGACCACATCGATGAGCGCACAGTCTGTAATGCAGTTTCCCCTACCAAGGACGTGGACGGTTTCCATGTAGTCAATGTGGGTCGCATGTGCCTGGATCAGTCCACCATGCTCCCCGCCACTCCCTGGGGAGTCTGGGAAATGATTAAACGCACAGGTAACAGGAGAGACCACTTAACTTGCTCTAAGGGTTAAAATGCTGCTGAGCAAACAGTCTAAAATAAATATCTAAATTCTGGTCTTTCAGGTATTCCTACTCTTGGGAAGAATGTCGTGGTTGCAGGACGCTCCAAGAATGTGGGCATGCCTATCGCCATGTTACTGCATACAGACGGCCGTCACGAGAGGCCCGGAGGTAGGTCACGGTGTATGTGTGGGTTTACTGCGTATGATACTGAGATCTGTATGAGGAGAGAGCGTTAAGCATACATACTAAACCATAGTTTTGTTGCAGGTGATGCCACGGTCACCATTTCTCACCGTTACACTCCAAAGGAGCAACTTTGCCAACACACTAAAATCGCTGATATCATCGTGGCTGCTGCAGGTTTGTGCCACTTTCTGTCTGCCTGTATCTGACTGTGACTGAACTGTTTGAAGCTTATCACTGTTGAGTCGATTGAGATGTTTTCTGTTGTCTAACTGTACTGCGTTGCTGAACTATTAGGGATTCCAAACCTCATTACTGCAGACATGATCAAAGAGGGAGCAGCAGTGATTGATGTTGGAATAAACAGAGTGCAGGACCCGGTCAGTGGAAAGAACAGACTGGTTGGAGACGTGGATTTTGAAGGTAGGGCTGGACATTTATACATTTCTGCAGGGAAATTACTTGGTGTCTCAGGTGTCAGTTAACGTCAATCTTTTTCTGTCCGTATTCAGGCGTCAGACAGAAGGCAGGCTTCATCACTCCAGTGCCTGGAGGTGTGGGACCCATGACTGTGGCGATGCTCATGAAGAACACTATCAAAGCAGCTAAGAACGTTCTGCTGTATCCGCCAGAGAGGATCCGCATGGCGGCTGCGTCTTAATGGCCTGGCGCAAATCCCAGCAACAGTGACACATTCCACCCACTCCAACACTACCACCCACCCCCTCTTTTTTTACTCGGAGCAACCTGATGAGCTCCCCTTGCACATGGACTGGGAAGATGATAGCTTTAAGCCTCTTTTGCTGCTGACATCTTTAACCTTTCCTAACTTCAAGTCCAGCCATGTTTAGACTGTTACATTCACTCATGCTGCTGCATGTTTTATGTAACAGGGTTCTCAGTATTTATCATTTGCAATGTATTTCTGTGGGATTTTGGAGTTTTAAAGAATCTTGAGAGGTTGTTTTATTTATTACTACATTAGGATAATATTTAAACATGAATGGAGCCATGTTACAGTATTTAACTCAAAGCTGGTGAGCAGTTAAAGCAAAACAACTGAGGCCTGTTTCTTGGTTTTTTTTCAGATAGTTTAGCCTTATGTGTCAAGAGTGAAAAGGGCTAACATCATCAGGAACAAGTATGTTTATCAATATACAAGCTTTAAAGATTCACAATTGCCTTTGTAAAAACTTTGAAATAAATATTACAAATATGTTCTCACATTGCTGCTGTCTGTGTCTTCCTTGTCTTGTGAGTTATTGATGATCTCACTCACTTCTCAGGCACTATCATTATAAATAATGGTCTTGTAGCATCAGTATAAAATAACCATCTATCCCTGTCTTTGTCAAATCATATCCTCGCTCACAAACTGACTGTCTCTTCAGACCCCTATCAAAAAAGATTACCCACAGTTATATCACTCCATTCCTTCAACTCACTGACCCACTTTTGCTTGACATGGATGACAATACTCAATGATTAGTGCAATCTAAATATCTTTGAACTTTGAACTATTTTGGGGACAAACTTTCACCCTTCACACAATTGGTCAGATTCTTTTGATAATCCCCAGTGACCTTCTTCTTTTTTTTTTAGGTCACCTTAATGTTGTCCTCATCCAACCTCATGATAAGCAGCTGCACTGGCCTTTGTCTTTTTTTTCTTTTGGTGCTGTGGGAATAAACAGCTAACAAACAAACTGTACAACCTCGGTCTGAACCCCACACACTGGCAGACTGCCACAGAATTGGGAATCTGACCTCAAATAATGTGATAATGGACACTGGAACCCCACAGGGATGAGACCTCAGCCTCATGCTCTACACACTATTCACCTATGACAGTATTGTCTTACGCAAGGACACCACAATCCTGAAATTTGCTGATGAAACCAAAGTCATTTGTGTGATCACTGGGGGTGATGAAACGGCATAGGGGGGAGAGGTCTGGTGATATTGTGTGATAATAACAACCTCTCTCTCAGCACAGATAAGACTAAGGAGATCATAGTAGACATGAGGAAGGAGAGGAGACCTCAGTCAGACCACAGTCGTGCACCGTGGCGTAGTAAAGACTGCTGAGAAGTTCATCAGTGTGCTTCTACCATCTCTGCAGGACATTTACGACCGGAAAGTCCAGAGAAGAACCTGCAGCATCATCAAAGGCTCCACCCACCCCCAACACAGGGTTGTCACACATATGCTCTCAGGAAGGTGATACAGAAATGTGCAATGTGGGATCTCCAGGCTGAGGAACAGCTTTTTTCCTCAGGACATCAGACCACATAAACAGATCTAATCCACTGCCCCTGTCCCGTACCCTAACCCACTGATGGATCACTGCATGAGATATGTTGAATAGACACCTGCAATCTGCTCCATTTGGACCTATTTTCAATGACTTTTGTGCCTTTTGGTACTTTAAGTGCATTTTGATGCTAATGCTGTAACTTTACTTGAATAACATTGTAAAGTATTAAGACTATAACTGTTTTTTACTTGTATTTCTACACTAGTTTATTGTTGCATTTACTTAAACAAACGATCTGAGTACTTCTTCCACCTCTGTGGGCAAATTCTTACTCAAAGTAGGAACTAGGAACCAAAATACTGTGTTCCCCGACGGCAGGAAATTGAAGACGAGCACACTTCCGTAAACGAAAAGAAAGCCAGTCCTCTATGGCTGCCGAAGCCCCGTCGCTACTTTTTATGATCTACAACCAACTTTTCAGCGGGGATTTCTCTTCGTGTGGTTTATTTGGCGATGGATCGCAGCAGATCACCTGACAGAGCGGACAGAGAGAAGAAGAAGAAGAAACGGAGACGGTCCTCCTCTTCTTCACCATCGTCTTCTTCGTCCAGCAGCAGGAGTCGGAGCAGATCGTCAAAGAAAGGGACACACAAGAACCAAGGTTGGGACTTGAAATGAGCAGGTTTGAGCAGGTTTGCAAAATTGTTCTTATCAAAGAAAATGATTAACTTCTTCTGTTTCTCCCTCAGATGTGAAAACTCACAGAAAGAAGCGCAGAAGAAGCTCTTCTTCTTCTTCTTCTTCATCCTCCTCTTCCTCCTCGCCATCTTCATCCTCGTCGAATGATGACAGGGCAAAGAGGAAGAAAAGTAAAACCAAGAAAAAGAAGCTGAAGAAGAAAAAGGCAAAGCTGAAGAAACAGAGGAAAAAGGAGAAAAAGAAGAAAGAGAAGCTGAAGAAGAAGGAGAAGAAGAAGACGGAGGTACTGCCGTCCACTGTTCCGGCAGAGAGACGTCCCTCTTACCTGGAGGTGTGGCAGAGTGATGAGGGGGCGGTGGAGCTCGGACCTGGTGGGACATCACATTACTTCACTCTGGGTGTTAAAGGGACTAGCAAATACACCGAAATGCACGGGTGGATTATGAGAATATGGGACTCTGGGCACACACATGTAACCCCCCTCCCACCTTATTTTAAGCACTCAATCACATTGAGGCAAAAATGATATAAAAACCAGCATTTGTGATGAAGCAGTCTTCCTTATAAATTTATGAGATGGCCCACAGTGCACCACTACAACCGCAGATATTAAAGGGGCAGATACTGAGGTGTAAATGGTAAAGCAAGATCTCAGATGGCTGACAATTTTATAACATCTAAGAGCTAATATGACCAGTGGGAGAAAAATGGTCTGGTTATCTTTTTCCCACTTTGCTCAGCCCTGTTTTCTTAAGAACCTCTATTGGTGGGAAACAGGACGAGTCAGGTGTAGTACATTAAGTTTTTGTTTTTCTCTGCAGTCATGACAGACGAGCAGAAGGCCCGGCTCTCCACCAAGAGGCCTCTCACCAAAGAGGAGTACGAGGCCAGGCAGAGTGTGATCCGCAGGGTGGTGGACCCTGAAACGGGGCGGACCAGGTGAGGCAGCGCTACGGAGCACACTCTCCAATCCATAGCGCAAGTCTTTACAGGAACAATTCCCCAACTCATTTTTATCTTCTTCTACTTTTCCTCTAGATTGGTGAGAGGAGAGGGAGAGATCATAGAGGAGATCGTCAGCCGAGAAAAACACAAAGACATTAACAAGGTAAAAGAAACTTTCAGCTGTAACTTTGTGAAATGAACATACCAAATGAACACTGCACCTCACTGTAAACCATCCATTCATCCCATAGCAGGCCACCAAGGGAGACGGGAACGCCTTCCAGAGGAAACTGGGAATCAACAGGTAGAAGATGCCGTTCTCTCCTGGCAACATTGGAGTAGCTTCACTAAACTGAAACTACCTTCCTCAAGAAGAGGTTGCCCAGACTGCTGATACTCACAGTTCAAGGAGGCACTACTGCTTTTTCAGAATATTTCACAAATTTTATATTTGAATTTTGTATGAAAGATTTGCCTGTGATTGAACTGTGTGGTAGTGAATGTACAAAGTAACAGAGACATGTACGATTCTTGTTTACTAATGAGTTAAATCCAGATAAGTCATTATTTCCTGTTGATTTGCCTTTGTAATTTTATGCTGATGGAGATATAAACAGAAGCAGATGAGTTACGGTGAATTTAAATGTGTCGAGTCCACTGAGATCCATAAAAGGAGAAGGAACTCAACATAATGATGTCACAAATCGTTTGCACACACGTTTACACGGGAGTGCAAACGTGTGTGTTTACACTGATCCATGCATATTTATTTTGTCCATGTTTTAAAGCATTGCAGTGTTTAAATTTAAGTAACAATCGATCCTAAATGAACTCCCGACTCAGGATATTTATTAAGAGTTGTGACTGCATTCAAATGGTAGCTGCATTTGAAATTAGCTCATTCATATTGCATATTGTCTGAGTGATGTAGGACACAATAAGAAGCTGATTTTAAGAGCTCAGTATCCTGCGTGACACTGCAAACTTTTTTTTGTCTTCCTTTTTGTATTTTGGCTACATGTTCTACACCCACTTGAAGATGTGTTCTCACCTTTAAATCTCACATTTTGGGTCTCTGAATAAATCTACATTTGTGTGAACTGATCCCAGAAAAATAAACAGTTTGTGTGAACTGAAATGAATTCTAAGCCCTGGTTTCTGAAGAGACTATCCTTGTAATCATCAAGTAATATTATTCTTCATGACAACATTACCACTGTGTGTGAAAAAAGGCCAGAATTACTTAGTTGTTCTTTATATGTTCTTTATACACTGTACATAAAAACACAAGGGATTGGGTGAAAATGAAGTTATCCAAAACCTACAAGATACACACCCTGTACAATGAAAATATTTTCCAAGCTTAATTTACCAAGGTATGTTGTATATATATATACAGCCTGTGAATGCGAACTGGTGATGAAATAGTTGTGGCATTGCATTAACCCGGGGGACAGAGCTTCAGACGGTGATGGATTGCCTAATGTTGGTGAAATACGTCAAACAAATTTCTCCTTTGTGCATTTCCTTTAAAGAGAAAACAAACCACAGACTTAAGAAAATATGGCGTTTTCCTATTTCCACAAAGTCTACATGAACAGTCTATTCTTTTCCATGAAGTCAATTTTCGGTGTGAGCAGCGTTCAATCTAGGCCTCGCAACACAATGGTGAATGTAAGGCAGAATAGGGAAATGTAAGGCCTCTGATAAAGTGTGTGTCAGTAGCAGAATCGAAGCAAGTGTCTGCCCAGAGGTATCCAAACTTCAGATTACCGCACCGCTTCGTCTTTACATTCTCTGGATTTTAATATCCAGGCAATTCAGATCTCTGAGGAAGGGAGGATGGTTCAGAAGTTGCCAACTTTACATGAGAGCACATTTTGCACCATTGACTTTTCTTTTTTGTAATTACTATAAATGTACTAACGGCCGCTATTTAAACAGCAGCTTCCCTAAGAGTTGTCTATATGGCTTCAAGCCGAATCTTGACAAAAAATTCAAATGCTGAGGGACGGTAGTACAGCATGAATTACATTGGCAGTCCACATGAGGGAGGTTATACTGAGTGTACCTTTGCTCTAGGATGTTCACTCAGCTGTCTAATATTTAGTTTACCCTCAGTGATGTGTGTCAAGGACAAAATATTAGAAACTCCTCTCACAATACAATTCAACAGCACCATGAACTGCAGCCTCCAAAATGACCTTTCATTTGAATGAACACTTCTCTTAAGAGTTCCAACAAATACCGAACATTATGACCTTCATATAAGTAGGTTTTATTGCAGGGCTGTTGTATTAGACGGCATGTTTTTTTTTTTAGCTATGTATACCTAATCAACTGGCAACTTAAGTGTTGATTTTTGGGTCACTCTTACAGTCAGTGTTATGTGGGTTCATCTAGACACCCATGTGCTGGAATGGAAACATCACAACAAAAACAAAGACCGAGCATGTGTCCACAGGAGAGAACCTACTGTAATATCCCATACTAGTATCAGGTCAGTGGTCACTTCAGGTCACTTCATTGTGAGAAATCTCTACTTTGTAAAATGGACTTGCACGTGTACCTGTGTGTTTGTGTGGCGCAGAGACATTTTCAGATACCCTCTCCATTTTGACGGCTGTAGAATATGTGCCAGTTCAACTGATTGTCAATGCACTGTGACATTTCTTCAGCACAGTCTGTTTGATCTTGTGGTGTGGTTGAGTAATATTGCACATTTCCCCTTATGTCTGAGCCCATATTGGTCCATTACAGTCAGCTCTGTACACGCCTATTAGAGGGACAAATAAACATCATTTGAATGAATAAATCAGAAATAAATGGCCAACAGCATAAAGTAAGTCTTAGCTCGGTTTTCCTACTTCTGACAGCATATTGTACAGAATTTACAATTTGCAGATTGTTCTTCCTCTAATGGCGCAGCAGAACAGAGAAAGAGACCTTAACCTAGGGAGGATTATCTATTAGCACATTCAACGCCTCATGTACAGCTTAGGGATAACCAGAGAGAAGCCATATCCCAAATTTCCAAAATAGATAATAACAAACATACAATATATGACACAATATAGCAGTTCTGTTGATACAATTCTGGTGATCTGCAAGATAAAATAACAGAAATACAATACTGTACCAGGCAAAGACCTTTGAATTTTGGCGGCTGCAACTGAAGTTTGAAAAAAAAAAAAAAAAAAAAAACACAACTTAGCTAAAGTAATCTTAAAACACATTTTGTTCACAAAATCAATACATTTTAAAATATCTATATATCTTAAATAACAATAATTATCATCATCAATCAATAAAGTGTATCCTGAATGAGTTGGTGTTTACCTCCAGAGGAAAGAAGACACTTGAAACTGGTCTTCAGTGGACCAGATACCAGATCTGCACTGTAATATAACAACTATGTACAAGCCTTGTTAAGGCATTCAACTACATACTTACACAATCTATTCCATTTTTACACAGGAAACCCTAATCCTTTCCTCTCTGTTCATGTACAGCATATCATTCTATACTGTTTACTTTGGCACATTAACCGTACAGTAGCAGGAGATTTCTCTATAGTTGAGTCATACATTACGTATTTAGGAAGGTACAGCAGCGCAGTATGGTGTCATGTGGTGAAATGCTATAAAAAAAACCCAGGAACAGTTTCAGCTGCAACCATAGTTAAAGGGTAATTTCGTAGTTTGCTTCATGTGATATTTGGATGGTTCTTTGGTCCGAGGGATGACTAGAAAACAAGAAAAACTGGACTGTATGGTTTGAAACATCATTTACTCATTGTAGTTTGCAAACACTAGAAGTATATGCAATAAGCAGCAGCTCTTGATCAAATCATTTCTAGTTGGTTTATAAATCACCATAACATTGCTCTGTATTGTTGATAAATGACAATGAAAAGAAAATCTAACAAAGATACATTTGGGCTAAATGACTGTTTGTGTGGTCACACCCAAAACAAACACATTCAGTCCAGTTTGACCTGATTCTTAGCTCTCCTCTCAGACTACAACTTATCTGATTATCGCATAAAAAGGACATAGCTTTAAAACCATTATTCACAAAGTTTATCTTTATCTATAGTAATTGTTGTGCTTGCAGTGGCCACAGTAGTCAGCTGCAGTGCAGTATCAGAAGTGGACCTGATACAAACTGTCTGTAACCACTCTGTTGTTTGCTGGAGTAAACAGCATGGAGATGCTTTTATGTGTGACCATTTCCGATCTAAAAGCCTGTTGTAGGAGGAAAACCGACCTTGTATTCAAGATAAATAGTTACTAAACAGTAAAAATGGTCTGGATTCCTACAACATTAGCTAGATCTGTTTGTGTGCATGTTCCTGCTTCAGGAAAATGCTTTTTGAAATGCCTATTGAGTTGTGTGTGTTTTATAATAAATATAGCCATAGCTTCTGTCCATAAATGTGACTGGCATTAGTTTTATAAAGAGTGGTTTGTAGCACCTATGATTTTTACCCATCTGGTGCAGGCAAACTGTTTTTCACTCTTTCCATTTATCTTAATGTCACGTGTCTCTTCCTCAGCACTGTATCTATAAGTCACTCTCGCAAAGGTACGCTCATATTGTCTCCCTAATCCTATTTTGGGCTGAGAACTCCTGGTTCCAGCTTGGTGCTGCTGCTGCGGCCCCAGCAGCTCGCTGTGATGCTCATGCTGCGCTGGGTTGCTCCCTGGCTGTGGCTGTGAGCGCGCTCCAGTCGCTCCCGCTCCAGCCGTTCGCTGTCTGATTGGCTCTGTGTGCGCTCTGGTCTGTTGTGGATGCTGCCTGTTGGGGAGCTGGGGGCTGGCTGGGAGGAGATGGTGCGCAGCAGGTGGTTCCTTTTCCTCAGGAAGTCGCTGTTTGCGCCCAGGCCGAAGCTGCCTTTACGTAGCACCATACGTGCGCTGCTGGACTTGGCTGGCCGAGAACGGTGGTTATACTCCAGCTGAGACAAATGAGCTGCATATCCCTCTGTGATGAACTGTTGAGAGGATCAGAGCAGAGACAGACTGTCAACTAGGAAGAAACAGCGTTTTTACATCCTCATTAATTTAGTTCATACTGTTTCAGTCATTTAAACAAATTATTATTTGGCATTATGAGAGGCAGTTTTATTATAGGACAGACCAGTGTTACATGTTTCTCTTAGAGCTTTGGGCATTTATTTTATTCATTCATTCTTGACATGTAATAATGGGCTATTTATTTAGCAAAATCTCCCACTTTGTGCATAAAATGACCAAACGGTACCTGACACTGGTGCTGCATCTTCTTGGAGGGTCTGCCGACGATGTATATTTGGGAGGGAGGGAGGCCAATGGAGGTGTAGACTGAAATGTCTTTGGTTGATCCATAGCCAGCGAATATCTTCATGTGAGCCTGGAATCAGTCAAATGAAAAGAGAACTGTTGCATCTCTCCGAACTACTGAGTAAACATGTCAGCATTATTTAATTATCACCTCTAAAAGGATATTCTTTATTCATTCCACACAGATCAAGATCACACACACACACAATCTACAGTACTCATAAAACAGCACATAGACCCCCCTCAATCCCCCCTTCCTGTAAGTCTGACCTCTGTTAAGGTCTTGAGGAAGTTGGCCTTGTGTCTGAGCGGGTCGTGGACCAAACCATCACAGAAGGAGACAATGCCATGAGGGAAGTTGTGCTGAGACAACCAAGCCACTACCCGCTGCTTCTGCATGTCTGGACGTCCTGTCACATAGATGATCAAATAGCCTAAATCCTGCCAGTGCCTGCGATGAGGAGCAACAGGAGAATATACCAAGATATAAATAACAACACCATATGCTTATGTACTTCAATCTGAAAGAAGACAGCAGAAAGGAGCAGCTAGGTACCTGACAACGTCCACAGCTCCTGCCCGCACTTTGGGATCACTGCCCATAATTGACACACTGGCAGCAAAAGACCCGTCAATACTGAATACCACAAACTCTGTGCCACGTGGAATAACTGTCAGGTAGCTGTCTGCAAATGTGTGGTCGCCCCTGGAGAATAAAAAGAACAACAGAGAGTAAGAAAAATGGAGAGACACAAAGATCAAAAGAATTTTTTTTTTCTGAGGACATTGAACTAGAATAATACAAAATGCACAAAAGAGCTTGAATAATTCAATAAACTAAGACACACCATTAGGGTTGGGGTATCGAAAAGGTACCAAACTAATCTCACCTGACAACCATTTTCACTGGGTAGACTCCGATGCCCAGACGCTTGTCTTCTGGGATGATAAAAGACACACGGCCACTACTGTTGGTCACCTCTGTGTTGAAGTACACCCATTCTCCTGATGGAGGCTGGGTCATGATGTGTAGGTCAACCTGGACAGGATTGAAAAACAAACATAACCTTTCAATAGGAAAATGAGCACAAATATAAATTACACAGACATTACTGACACCGGTCTGTGTGCTGCTGCAAGCGAAGACAAAAGAGAGTTCACCTTCTCCCCTGCCAAAGTGACCATGTCCAGGGGGCCGTACATGAAGCGACCAGTCACGACCTGCTGGCTGTCTTCGGTAAACACGGCATCGTTTACTCGGTGGTTGGCAGTCACATTCTGTCAAAGGAGGGAAAGAAAGATACATTCTGAAATGTAGCTTTTGTGTATTCAACTGAACTATAAAAACATTACTGATGTTACGTTTCCAACATATATATATTTTTTTATAATATCTGATGAAATTTGGTTAGAAAGGCCAAAGTTAAAGGGCAGAGTTGAACCCAGGGTGTTGCGATTAAATAGAAAGCAGCCCCAAAGCAGATAGATCTGACGCCTACCCTGATCTTTACATGAGTCCTCTTGCGGAGCCACTTCTCTCGAGGTTTGGAGGGGGTGAATTCAGACACTTCTTTTCCATCAAGCTCCAGGATGCTGGAGTTTTCATGCCTCATGACCTACAGGGAACATTTCAATGATCCATCCTCAGTATTTCTGAAGAGGACTTGCAGCCTGCAGGTTACGTATTAACAGGTAGTGTAATGTTTACTCACCTGCCTCAGGAGAAAAGACACGACATCAGTGGACTCCCAGTATGATGCGTGGAAGAGGTGTGGTAAAGCCACTGTGGGGAAAGCGGTCAGAGCATCGGGGCAATACAGGGCAAAGTCCAACCTCTTTGTGCCCCACCAACGTGCTGCAACTGTGACGGGAATGGATCGCATAGAGTGCAGAGACGTAAGATGAAACTGTAAGTGGGAGGTTTGTAATGCCACGCAAAGGTGCAACACCGCTGAGGCTAAAGTAAAAAGATTATTTCAGTCCTTAACCACAATCATCACCGATCCCAGTAGTTCTCCAGCTACAGGAAGGAAAGGAAGGAGTTTATATCTGTTATCAACAAGAAGATCAAGTGCTGGAATTCAAGTTCAGAAATTAGAAAAACAAAGTTAGAACTGATATGTGATTAGATGAGACACTGAAGATGGTTATTCATGTTAGTATAGGCATGAGAAAAGATCATGGATTTGGAATGAAGCAGCAAAATCTGGATTTATACATTAATTCTCATCCGTGCAGGTAACAGCCTTGAATCTTTATGAATTCAGTTTTGAAAGAACACAAGTAAAAGGGAGGAAAAAGAGGCTTTCTGGAAGAGCTTTTGGATTGTGGCAGAGTATAGAGCAGCACAAAGAAAAGACCTGTAGTCTCATGTTGATTTCAGCAGTCCCATCCCTTAGAAATATACCTTGCTCCACTTCAGCCTGGGAGTCCAGTGAGACCAGATCAGATATAGCACAGTCCAGCCCCGCTGACGGGCAGTTCTCGTACTGGCCAATGGGACTTAGACCTTCACTAGAGTCTGCCTCACCGTCCAGCTCTGCCACTGGATCTGCATCAGGTGATCCTGCAGCCTGGCCAGCCTTTGCTTTCTTACGGGACTTAGGAGGACTTTTCAGGAAGAATTTATTTTGTGATGATAGGGCGAGTTGGGACAAAAGGCTGAACTTTTTGGATTGGTTAATTTGGCATGATTTGGCTATGGGGAGAAAAACAAAGACAAAGACACCATATGAGAAAATGGGTGCATGTTGGTAATGTGACAGTTTATGACAGTTTGAAGAATGATGTTGGGATGTGTCTGGTGTCAGGAAGATGCCTTAAAGAGAACTGTGAATGTCAAAGCTGTTAAAGTAGTGGAGCAGGGTGATGCTGTGGAAGATCGTCTGATGCTGCGGTGCTGCAGGAGCAGATCTCTGACAATTAGTTTAGGTGCAGCTCCAGGGCTGTACTGCAGGTGCTAAAAATGCAGTGTTCACAACAGTAATGTGAGCAGCAAATAAATGTCCAGGGAACGAAAAGAAGAGAAAGAGTGAAGGAGGGGGGAAGGAGGTGATTCGGAGGACAATCAAACAAACAGGAAACAGAGTACTGGTTCGCTCAGCAAACATTGCAATAGGGAGTGGACGATGCAGGAATGGCTGAGGGAGGCAGGTGTCTACATGCATTACAACATTAGATAAATGCAGCACTCATTCATTGCATTTACATTTAGACAGTGGATAAGAGTAAGACAGACAGTGGAAAGTGGCACTAAGCTTCTTCTTCTTCAGGACTCTGTTTGGGACTTTTTAACAGGAAATGGACAAGACGTTCTCCATGAGTCGCCATTCTGTGCAGGTGTTAAGTCTGGCTGAGCAGAAGTAGCAAACGAGCGGGATATTCATTGTCTACCTGGCTGACTAGACTGCTCCAGCTGGAGTGCGGGTTGTGTGTGGAGTCAGAGTAATGGAGTTGAGAGAGAGAGAAGATGAGTGAGGAGAAACTAGACAGAATAATAGAGAAAAGCTGGACTGAAAGAAAGAAGGAGAATAACTAGTATCAGTGTTTGTGTGAGTGGAAGGAAGAAAGAAAGAGACACTGGTTGGTATTGAGAACACTTACTGTTGGCTATGTTGGTGGCAGTGTAACTGTCTGCCATTCCTGAGACCTGGCTGGCAATGCTGACCTCACTGGCCCTCCGCTGGCCCCGGGAGAGGGGGCCCGTTACAGGGGATGAGGGGTACGAACTGTCCATGAAGACACCACCATGAGACTGAACAACATCCGCTATTGAGCCGAAACAAGGAGATCCCATTAGACAGAGACACAGGTAAGGGGAGCTCACAGTGATGGGAGGAGGGAGATGTGAGTTCGGGCAGCAGGAGAGAAATGTGACAGCAGGCACCATGGTTCCAGAGGACATGTGAAACCACAAGGCGGCCACATGGTGACCAAGGTCAGATTTCTATAACCAACCAAGTGGAAACACGAGAATATGAATACATAAAACACTTAGTGAATGTAAAATCACAAATGACCAACTCTGTTACAGTCACATCCATGTTAGTGTTAGTATCTCTGATGAGGGTGATTTTTATCTAATAATCAAGTGATATCATATATAGTGCTTGACATTTTATAAAATCAGATGACCTCTGACCATTAACACAAGGAGAAACATAGAGTAGTACACACTATATTCAGGACGTATAGTAAGGACTCCAAGTACACTGTACAACCACAACATCAAAAGCAGCACAATCTTCACATTAAAACCTGTCTCTGAAACACAGACGACTGTAGAAATACCCTCTCTTGACATTAATGACACAGACACACTAAAACCTGGCTTAAAAACCACAGCACAAACACAAATGCTTGCGTCCTCCAAAGACTGAATGCGACATGAATATATGATGGCAACAACAAAACCAAACACCACGAGATGCTGATCAGATTTTTTCCAGAGTATTCCAATGACATGTTGTAACAATTTGTTATAATTTCTATTCAACCAGTTAAGTAAAACGCCTACAAAGAGCAATTTAGATAAAAGACTGAATGCTACTAGGAAAGGCATATATGCAGTACATACTGTGTACTGGTCTATCGATGCGTTTTTGTCTGAATATCTCAACAAAAACATGACAGCAGGTGTAGATTTTTGAAACAACAGTGATGGGAATATTCTGAGAGAACATGTGGTCAATATAAATCTGAGCATCTTGGACATGAGAGCAGGAGGGATGGAACAAACAGACAAAGGAAACACAGTGAATGGGGGGTGTGGACAGATGCAGGTGAATGGGAGAGGCTACACACACTCCATAGTGGCGGGTGTGGCTTTGAGGGAGCCCTCCTGCCAGTTTAGCACAGGCACAGGGATGCAGGTCTCACTGATGGTCTCCTGACAGCGAAGGGACAGGGTAGGCCCGCTGTCAAGTAGCAGCTGAGCGTTGCTCTGGACTGTCTCCACTATAGAGGGAGGTGGAGGGGCAGAAGGGGGCAGAGGTCAGGAGGGGTTTTAGAGGTAGAGAGCCAGGTACGCAGATATGGGGACAGGAGGCCAAGAGAGGAAGAAGGAAAGAAGACAAGGAAGACACAAAAACATATGAAGCAAGAACAACTGAACATGAGACAAGAAAGCAGAGTCAAGCCCTTAGTTGAGCCCACTTATTTGAACCACAAATGCTTCTTAGTCATATACTGTCAGATCATTGTTCTAAGACTGTAAAAGGCCTGGCATCTGCTAGTCATACAATCTTTTGCACTTAACTCAAAAATGAGCTTGAATTTGTCTTTAAAACTTTGCCAGTACTGAAAACTCTGTTAAACTCTGTTAGTTAACGAGGCAAACCTGAGGATATTCAGTGACAGCTCATTTGATGAAAGCTATCACTTTTAGGACTGACACATCAAAAACCTGGCCTGAAGTCATTAAGAAATATCTTAATTCTTATTACCCCCTATGCCACTTTCTAATAAGCCCTGGATCCTGGTTCAGTGGTGGAAGCTATTTGAGCCCAGAAAAAAAATTCTCTGCTCATTGGCTACCTTTCTGTGTCCTTTTTCTTGGGGAATCACAGACAGAGATTTGTGTAAAAAGGACAGGGTGAGGCTCTAAGGGTTACTCTACTATAATGACCAGTCTGAACAGAGACCACCAGCAGGACTATGACCACATGTAGATGAGTAAACTGCTTCACAAAAGACGTTGAAGCGCAAACAGTAGAAAAATGTTTCATTTTTCTTTGAGACAATGTTTACTCTGTGTGAAGAAACTCAAAGTGTGCTGCTAAAGCATCTTCAAGGCATGTGTTGTCTATGGCATGCATCCATGAGAAACGGGAGAGTGTCTGAAGTGTCAGCTGATGCGATCTTAAGTTAAAAGGAGAAATTAAACAGCCATTTTATTACAGGGAATTTTGCATTTGTGTCTGTGCATGTGAATCCAAGTCAGGACTACATAAATGATTCTACAATGTAATTCATGATTGGATATTAACTGAATTGATATAAATGAGGCTTCCATAAATCATCGTGCAGAGGGCTCACCCAGTAGGGCAGAGTTTCCATCTCCCAGGGGAAAGCGTTGGTAACGGGGCACGTTGAAGGGAGGCAGGAGGTGAAATTTCCTCTCCAGGAGAGGCTCCAGGCGGGAGGCTGAGGGATCGGCTGGGTGGAACAGGTTATAGACCTGCTGACAGGCAGGGCGCAGCTGGGCCACTAGAGGGAGAAAGTGAACCAAGATTGATTCAGATGGAAAAGTTATGCAAGATATCTTGTCTAAAAAACACAAGGTCTACGGGCATTTTATTGATAATACCAACTAGATATACATTATATAAAACTAATTTGAAGGTATGCGCTCTATATGCCACAATACTAATAAGAGCATCTCAACCTGAGACAAACTATTTGCACTTTTGGAGACAGAACATTTGACCTGTTTGTATTTTTTTTTACAATGTAAACAATATTTGTTATCATTGATTACACTATAGCAAACATTGTATTCCTCTGTACGAAGTAGCTTACCATCTAGCATAGGAATGACAGTCTTTCTCAGGGCGAGTACCAAGCCCAGTGGAGAGCCAAAGAGGAAAAAGTCAGACACCTCAAAGTCAAACTTCCCCAGGGATCCTCCATCCAGCATAGTGCTGCTGCTCGACCTGCGTGAAGCTGCATCATTCCGCAAGACACTGGAGTGTAAGCTGGAAGGACAGCACAAAGTCATTTCCTCACACAGACCTAAAAATAAATCACACTCTGACAGTACATATGAAACAAGGACTCAGTGCTTTTTTCCTTCATCTTACAGGTCGGGATTTTTGTCATCCCACACACAACACACCTGGACAGGAAGGCCTGGTGTTGTTTTATTGTGTCCAGTTCGTAGGTGGAGGAGTCACTTCTCTTGCGTGGCAGTTGTCTCTTGGTGTCGTCACCTGCACGAGGGATGTCGATGTTACTGCGGCTGAGGTGGCGGCTGCCCTCCAGGGTTGGAGAAGATGACCCATGCCCGCTGTTGACAATGATGCCAGGAGAGAGGAGGTCCTGATCCTGCGGGGGACGAATCAGGAAAATTTGTTATGAAAACTTACAGCATAAATAGTCTTATTATAATGAGTAAATTAATTTTAGTTGCGGGGCATTCATTCAACGGGAATTTAAGAGTGTACTACACTTATTTTTTTAGGTACTTTTGTGATGAGTTAAAAAAAATGTAATCACTGCAGTGAACTTTAAGTCTCTTACCTGTACACTGACGACACTGCCCCTCCTACTGCTGTTCTGGCTTTCATTTACTGTCTGATTGCTGCTGCACAGTGCATCAAATCCCAAGATTCCTCCCACACAGTCTCCAATTAGGCATACCTAGAGAGATCAAGGATCAGAAATAATATTTTTGACAGACAACATCCTTATGGTTAAGGTTTACCTAAAATATTGCAACACCTTCTCCAACATGAGTTAACATAAGAAAAGAAACGTATGTCAGTGTTTATTGTTAAATGGGTGTTTGTCAACTAATATATATAAAACAAAAGGTAACGACTAATAAAAGACATTAAAGACCTAGCTCAACTGTGATACTGATATATCTTTGGAAACTAAAACATATATAGCTCATTATAAAATTGAATATTACAAGAAAAGACAAAAAAAAAACAAAAAAAACAAAACAAAATTGTTGATATCAGAGAATTCAGCAGTACTCATAACTTCACAGGACGGTAACTGACCTGGCCAGAGAAGGCAGACCCGTCCAGAGACTTTATAAAATCAGCGAAGACCTGGTTGGCTCTGGCGATGACAGTGGCCACGGCATCCTGGTACTGTGGAGCGGACGTGGCCAGGAGGGGCAGAGCTGCCAGTGGGATGTGGTCCTGGCTGCTGGACAGACAACCCTCATCGTAGCTATAAGGGCTCAGGCTGCCACAAAAGAAAAAAACGGACAAAATCAAATTGCGAACATATTGTGAAGTCTAAAACAACCAGAGGAGTTTGAATAAATAAACACAGGAAGAAGGGGCAGTGGTCATGAGCTGCACCTGGACCTTTTCCATCATAAGCAAACAGCAGTCACAGCCAATAAACAAACCTTTCATCATTATCCACAATCCTTGCAGCCTGCAGATAAAAAGTCTACATGTGTGTCCTCTTACTTGGACACCAAGGAGAAGGCCTCGGCACAGATGGCAGGGCAGGGCACCAAGCGAATGGCGATGCGTCCCAGCGCAGCGGGGTAGTGAACACGCATGACTGTGTCAAAGGCCGTACTAATCGTGTTGACGTCTGCCTGCTTGCTGTTCTGGTCCCCTCCGCCTGTATCCAGGATGTTCCCTCCGTGCAGTACCAAGATCAGCACATGGATCTTGGAAGGCTGCAGGCACTGCTGGGATGAGCTTTCCTGAGGACAGCGAATTACAGGAAGGGTGATGGGTGGGAACACTGAGGAACAGGTTTTGGACAATGCTCAATAAATAGTATATTTACTTATGAGAACATCCTCTTTATTAGCACGGCCAAAGACAGTTAAAAAAGCATGCTTACTGAGTGTGGGGGAAGAAACACAGATAAACAATAATGCATCAAAACAATGGGCATCAAATTACTTTAATCAGATGTTGTTAGTAATGGCTTCTGACATTTGGCGTCTATCTCTTCAAACATGGGCCACACAACAAACTTCTTTTCACGACTATAGACGGGCGGAGAACCATGACGGGAAACAAAACACAGCCAACCTACACTCCACCTGGACAACTGTTCAACTAACAGCAAACAATGACAATGCTTCCTGAGGACAAGTCACATTAAATAAAACAACACAATGTGTAGTTTTGTCTTACACACTCTGATCCAAAACTTCACATTTTCATAGAAGCACTGTATGTACACTCAACGCCACAGCTGCAAGTACACAGGAGTTGAACAGAGGGTGGTGAGGTTGAGGAGGACACGTGGTTTTGGGTTTGGGCAACAGCAGGGAAAAGGGCAGGGGCAGTAAGTACTGGGTTTGTTCAGGGGGATCGTAGGTCTCTGTGGAGCTACTAAAGTCCACAGTGCACTGGGGCCAAAATGTTTACTTACTGACTGGTGCCTTGTTACCATGATGGTGGGAATGGGAGAGCTATCGGCTTGGCCGCTAACAGAGCCACGCATCTGAACACAAGAGGACGGAGAGGCTCAGGGACAAGCAGCCCTTCTCTTATCCTCCAAAGTTTAAAGCCTGATATACAACACTAAGTTTGTTTTTCACAGTAAAAGCATAACTAAAATGAAATCAAGAAAAGCTTTGGGGCCTGAAGGGCATTGTCTTGCGATGGTGCTGTAGGAATATTTATTTCAGGCATGTTTCTGCTTCAGAGAAGGCTGGCTAGGATTACGTTTTGTACATACACACTCCAAGTCTAACACACATACCTCATCTAGTCTTTCCTCACTGGTTGCTCTTTCATAATCCACAGTCATTTCCTTGAACAGCTCACCTGAAAACACACACACACACACACACACACACACACACACACACTCTCAACGTCAAATATGACAGCAGTGTGACTGTATGTGATGAAGTGCTCATAGTCTTCATCATACCAGGAGTTTCCTCTGCGTCTGTGGCTTCAATCTTGTCCATGAGGTCATTGGAGTTCCACTTGGCGATTTCCTTTGGGAAGACCTCCTCGCCGTCTGAGAGATCCTCTGCAGAGGCAACACAAGCGAGATCATTATCAACTGAAGTGTACGTGCCATTCAGGGCTTAAAATTTGTCATTACACAAAGTATAACCAGTTTATAGTGATTAACAGGGATGTATGACTTATGAAGGAACCTTGTCAAGCTTTCCCACAAGATATTGTCAAATAAATCTTTGAATGGATATTTTCTAGCTACTTGATGTACAGCATCGCCACTGCGGTGGCCATCAAATGCATACTACGCTGGATGTTTTCATCTTTGAAGTCTAAGCTTTGTGTTCATCTATCGCTGGTGACCGTATGTTATCACACAATCTCAAATGGCATGTAGACGTGTGCTGGGAAACATTGGACAAGAGGAGGTGTGATTTTATTACCATAATGGATTTTCAAATAAGAAAAACACATTTATTTACTAAACCGTTACCTACTGAGAAAAGGTTTTTAAATCAGTATGTGTCTTTGAATGTATCTAAATATATTGATGGACTGTGTTATCTATCCACAGACATTAATCTGTGATTTAAAAAGCAAGGTTCAGGATCTAAAAAAGAATTTCCCCTTTTATCCCATAATTTCTCTCCTGGGACATTTTTGTTTTTCAGCCAGTATCTTCATGTCTGAGAAACAGGCAGCTTCCTCCTGTTCACTCTAGTTTGTGTGAGCAAATTGAAAATAATACCTATCATTTTATGTACAAATCTCATGCAATTCCATGTACTTCCATGGCAGTTATATTATGAATAAATTACACAACTGCTGTGAAAAAAATGGAAATCATTTTACTCTACAGTGACTTGGTTGCAGCCAGTTTCTCAGAAACACAAACACCTAATCTTTTACATCTAAAGAAAAGGATTCAGTCATAAACTGGTTAAATTACGAGGGAAACATGATGTGTCCGTTCAACTTCAAGTACTTCTTTAAAAAGTTTTATAAATTTTTCCCTTGGTTGCTTCAATTATTTCTAGTTATAAACACAAATAGTGATCCAGCCTTAAATTGGAAAATAATAAAGGTGTTTAGAGGTATCATCAATAGTCCTTACCAAAGTTATCATGGCTTTGTAGATATATAAGGTGTAAACCTTAATCTACAGATTTAACTGTAGCAGATACATTAGTTCTGTTGTCCCTGATCAATAAAACCAAACAGACCCAATGCGGTATACTATTATGAGTTTTCCTCCTAAAGCTTTTCTTTATTCATTTTCACGAAAAAAAAAATTTTTCTGCCACACAGAGAAGAGGAAGGTGACAGTTAAAAATAAACCTGGACGTGTATCTCAAGTGTTTGTAATAGATGTTGATGTAATAGATGCACGACGACCATAACACAAACTTTAAAGATAGAAATCTAATATCAAAGGTAATCAGAGCCAAGTCAGCCTGTTTCCATATTTAATCTACGTACCTCCATCATGTGATTTCATCCAGGCACCAAAGCACACACTGTGTACAAAGGATATACTCTGTATCTCAAGTTCTTTTTGTTACACTAACCTCATGTATTTACCTTTATTACAACTGCTTATTTCATGTGGTTATCTTACAGTGTAGTAACATCTGTAAATCATTAATAACTGAAATGGGCACAGGAGCAGCACAACAGTAATCACTGTATTAACCGTCACTGAGACAGAGGGGTATGTACACTAATTAATGACAGTGCAGTCAAAACTTTAATCAGGTCATTTCATGAAATGCGATGTGCTTTGACTTCAGACTCAACACATAGTAATTAATCCATACAAACATGAACACTACAACGCAGGATAAATTACTGGATGTCAACACAATTCAGTCTAATGATTGTACTCCAGTTACTCAGAGTGTCATGAGCAGAGACTTAGTAAACTTGGAACAGGTGGAAACCGAGTGCAGCAAAATCAGTATCAATATAATAAAGGACAAAAACATGCATGATTTTATTCTTGTTTCATCATTATGACAAAATGTTCTGAGACAAAAAACACCGGTGAATAATTGGGTGTGTGTGTGTGTGTGTGTGTGTGTGTGTGTGCGCGCGCGCGCGTGTGGGGCTGAAGGGCAGAAATTATTGTGATTTCTGAACTTGACGTTAGGTTGAGACACCTGGTCGTGTCCTTGGCCAAACTCATCCAGCAGAGAGCCAGGGTGTTGCATCACACCCCCACCTACTTCAACTGCAGCCCCAAAGCATGCTGGGTATCTGGGAAGCTTAAGAACTGATCTGTGGTTAAAGACATGCATGCAGAGTCAGGGGAGGAGGGAGCAAGCAGGTTCTTCGAAAACTGAACACAATAAACATTTGATCTAACTTCTGCCTTTAATTTAAAATCAAAACTGTGATTACCATGAGCGTCAAAGAACTCTTCGTCTGAGCTGTCGTCTGAGTCTCGCGCTATGCTCTGCATCCTCCACTCTGAGATGCTGTGACGTGACGGGCTCACTGGAAAAAAAGCACAGGCAAAAAATTCACTGTTATTTTGGGACATGTGTTTTAGCCCCTCTCTTTCCCTTTTTAACACACACACACACACACACACACACACACACACACACACACACACACACACACACAAACACTTTACAACAAAGAAATATTTCACAATCTCCCCCAGCCCCCACACACACACCACCCCACACCCACCCCCCCCACAACCCCCCGCCAAAACCCCCCAAAATACCAACCAACCCCAAAACACCCACCCAACACACACACACACAGTGTTATATAAACATGCAACAGCCTCTGTGGTGCATTACTTCATCACAGATGGACTGCTTGGTGGTCAGGGGGTGTGTGAAAACTGAGGCCCAATGTAACGCAGAAAAGCTACAAGAACACAGACGACTAAATGCCAGCTGAGGAAAATGGCGATACTAAAAGCAGGCCTTGTCTGTCACAGGTCTTCAGTCTATGCCTCATATATCATTAGTGCAGAGGAGGAGAGGGGGGCATTGCTCTGAGGGGTTGGTGGGTGGGGGGTGGGCACAGCTGTAGCTGTCAACGCACAGAAAAAAACAGCAGTGGGGGAGGATGGGGGGGGGGTTGGGTCACTCTGAAGAGCGTCATCCTCCTCTGGTCTGTGATGTCAGCACTACTGCTAAAAATAGCCCAGGAGAGAACCACAGGGGGGAGTTATAGGGGTGAAACGAGGCACGCTGGATGAGATTCAGGGTCCAGGTGTCAGTTACAGTGAGCGCTGCCTTGAGGTAGGGGTGACACTGGAAATGGGTGTGTGCGGACATGTGGTTTTGTGATGTCAAAGCTGATGCTAAAAATAACCGAGGTGAGATCTAAGATGCTGTAGGGGTGAGGTGAGGGAAGTTGGTTAGTACAGAAAATGTGGAGGCGTGAGTAAATATAGTCCAACAGAATAAAAACATTCTGATTAACATCAGGCCCTGAACAGAAAAGCAAAGTGTGGTACAAAAGCAGAGTGTGCATACTAAAAAGCTGCTCCCAAGGTGTTTGACTTTATTAACACCAATTCAACTATTTGAGCTCAGAGCTCTTCAGCAGACTCTGATTCATTCAGCCTGGGAGCAACTGTGTGTACATCCGTGTGCAGATGAACCACAAAACACAAGGACAATTGTTTTGTATAGAAAATGTTGCCTATTATCATGTATTGGACTTCCATCATAATGAAGTCAAAGGCGTGGAATATGAACTTATCATGTTGGCATGGCATTTTTTACTTAGAAATATAGAAACAGAAAAAGCTAAGAGCTACTTTGGCTCTGCACAAGCTTGATGCTTGACCTTGTTGAATTCTTCACATACTATCTTTCACTGTGGACAGGCCTCAAATAACACCACCGTTTACTAACAGAACAGTTTGACTTTGTAGTTAGTATAGCTCAGCCGTTAAGGTGAAAAGGAGTCAGGTTTCAGACTGAACAAATCAGGCTTAAAGGCATGATGAGGATGAAAAAGTATGTAGGGAGGGACATGCATAATAAATGCAGGTTTCTCTGATACCTTTCCCACCAGTGCCAGTCTCACACACTGTCACACACAGAGGTGACACAGGTGAGTAGAAGACCATGGCATGCTTCTCACCTCCTCTCTTGGATGAGCGGGATGAGCGGGAGGAAGTGGACCACTGCTTAGTCAGTACACCTCGTGGCTGGAGAGTCTCTCCTGAGCTGACAACCACCTCCTCAGCTTCAATAGAGCTGATCGCCTCTTTAACCTCTTGGTCTTTGTCTGGAGACGGAGCGCCTCCGTTGGCCTCGCTGGCCTCCTCTGCCTGACTGAACTGGGCCATCTTCCTGGCCAGGGCCAGCTGGGTTTCCAGCTCCAGCTGCCTGATGTCCTCGATAGTCAGACCGTACCACTCATCCTGCCAGCACCAGGCCTGCCGGTGGGCACGCACCATCACCTTTCTCAGTCCTAGGGAGAGATGAGGGGAGATATTAAACACCAAACATGGAAAATCCTAAGGTTTATAGAGTTTGATGGAAACTGAAAAACACATCTGTCAAAATATATTGTTCATAAAAGTAACAATCTATCACATCAGATGAAAGACTTTAAACATCTGTGAATGTTTACTCACCAACATCATGAATGAAGCGTTCAATCTTCGACTGCATGCCCCAGTAGCGGAACTCCACCTTGCACAATTTGTAGGCACACATGATGGGGGTCTTCCCTGGGTTATTGTTGTACTCCTCTATCCAGTCGTCTTGCAGAGGGCCCCTCTGGGTCTTGACTGACTTGTAGAGCCGTGGGTCCTCCTCTGCTTTGTACTCATGAGGGGGAATGGGATCGCTCACTATGTCGATTGGGTCTGACAAAGATAATTTACATTAAGAAAGTAATGACTAATGTATCCAGGTGTTTTTATTGTAGTACACTGATAACACATATTCTGTTTAGATTCAGTGTCTTTAACATCATGTCATGATGTGTACATAAGTGGGTGAGGTAGTAGAACTTGTATGGGCTTGTGTTTAAAGGCTTGAAATTCCTTTTGTAACTGACTTTCTGACTGACAAACAAACACAAGAATGAGTAACTGATTAAAGTTATAACAGTCAGTGTTGTGACTGCGTCACTGCTTGCCCTAGGATCATTAATTTCTGAGCACTTTCATCTTTGATGGACAAACATGCACTCAACCTTAGAAAAAAACAGATGCAGTACCATCAAACTGCCATAAGTGGGCCTCACCTGCTGCGCATGTTTGAGTTACAAGGGGACAGATGTCAAGACATTATCAGACTAAAAACCTATTTACTTCTATCTATTTACTGGAAAAGTATTGCAAGATAAGCTAATTGCTTTTCTGTATTGTAAATAGCCTGATACACACAAATTAGTATTTTAATAAATAATCTGAGTTTATGTTATCTTTCAGGATTAATGCAAAATGGTCTCACCAATAGTCCTCTGCCTTTTCTCTGCAGCAGACATGTTGAAGACATCTCCTTGGTTGCCTGTGTCAGGTTTGTAGTAGGTTTCAATGTCAATGGAGAACTTCTCAACAAAGGGACAGGTGTATCTGAAGGAGAAGAGGTAACAACATTAAGTTAAAATATCAAACAGTCACAGAACAACTGTCCCAACAACGCAAGAGTGCATTATGGGTTGACATCTGTCTTCATTCTGAGACTCACTTTTAAAATGAATGGGTCGAGATCAGAACTATTTTATTAAGAGTGATGATACCCTCTCAATACTGAGGATAGAATATGAGTGAGCCATGCCCATCTGTTGCATCTAAGGTGTCTGCAGCAAAGCTGTCACCGTTTGAATAGATATGTCAACAAGCACATGCAAGCTATCAATATCTTGACAGTATAGTCAAGGGCACATCTCTTTTCATCAACTTCCCGTCTCTGTGTTTGCCAGGCCCCACAGACAAACTGACTGACACCCGGAGAATGAGGGGCCATCAACATCTAACAGCCTGGGAGCACTGCTGGCCACACACCAGTCTGATGGTCTGCTTGGGAATATTCTGACAACTTGCTCTGAGGTCTTTATTTCCTTTCGGCTTTTACTGAGGGACAGCAGCTAGTGCAGGACGTCAGACTAGGCATCATCAAACTCACCACCCATGGCATTTAAATCACCTATCTTCTCAACAGGTGGTGGTTGCATCTTTAAATGTGTGTGCACCTACCTGCTACAGCAGTGAGACACACATTCACACAGCATTTCGAATATTAAAATAACAAATGTGGAGTTTGTTATGCAGCTTTAGCAGAGTTTAATGCTCTCTGCCTCCTGATCTGAAGGGGTGGGAAGGTGGCCTTACTGCAGAAGCAAAACTCACCTGGTGCGGGTGTAAGGGTAGGCGTTCCATGACTCCTCTTCAACCCTCAGTGCTGCTTTGGGCAAGATGGAGCGGAACCAGCTAGGAATGTGCATGCCAATGTGGTAGACCTTGTGGGTGTACTGCCCTGTCCCACCTGGTCCATCTGTGTAGGGCTTATTCTCTAGGATCTCCACCCCACTACCTTCACCACAGCTCTCTTCTCTGCTCTTTTTCTGTAAGAAGAAATGAAGTTGAAGTGAGTTGGCAAGGTGTTTATATTTGCTTATAAGCAGTGAACTGTAAAGGGAGTGTTACATTTAAAAATAAATGGACATGTGCCTTACAACAAGACACTCACCAAAATGAATAGCTTCCTAAAAGCTCTGTCAGCACTGAAATGCAAATAAGGAAGCCCAAAAACCAGCTCATGGAGCCACACCTTTCCCATATTTACATTCCAGGTGCACAGAGGAAGGGAGGCTGGGTGGAGCCTGCTGATGCAGTTGAGTAGAGATAAAGCTAGGCAACTCTAAGCTTCAAAGACAAAGTTGTGTGGTATGGCAAACGTGTAATTTATGATGGTTATGAAATCAATGTAATGGGAAACCTAGACAGCAGAGCATAGTCCAAGTGCTGACTCTTAAAAACACAGGGAGCAATGAGCAAAGACCATAAATGTCAGAGACTACTGATACACTGATATATATTACTGATGTATCATTTTTTCTTTTTCTCTTATCAGACATTGTCCAGTCTTTCCACAGATAGCTCAAAGTATGTTTAACGCAGTATTTAGTACAGCGCTGGGATAATAGGGAGACAGATTTCTCCAGTCAGTCCAGCGAGGAGAGGCAATGCAGGCGAGGCAGTGAATTGATGGAGTAGAGAGGAGGAAGCCATGAGGCGGCCAGCACTCCGGACCTCATTACCTCTGACAGGTCATTCATTAGCCACCCGCTCTGCTCTCAACAGCTCCGACAGAGCTCAAAAGACACAGCACAGACGCCACAGCAGCAGGTACACGAGACATTGGAACATAGCTGATGTAAAGTGTCAAGTGTAAAATGTCAAGTTTACAGTGTAATGTATGTATACTATCACTATAAAAATTGCATCCCATCAGGAAATAGACACATAAACAAATAATGGGTCTTCAAAGAACAATAATTTTAAGCAATCATGTAAAGGAACTGTTCACCTAAAACAACACAACATATCTTTCCACATAGGACTATCAGTTAGTTTTTCAATTACATGATAAAACGATGTCAGTACATTAATGTGAGTACTATTATCATTATATTGGGAAAAAGAAACTACTGCTGAATTTTCCAAAGGTAATTATTTTCCTTTGTATACAAATGACAGCTGCAAATGTTGCCAAATGATTTCTGGATGTAAAGTCAGCAGTCCAGGTAAGAGTAGAAAACTGTGTTTTGCAGTGGACGGTCATTTAATTAGGTTGCTGACAGGTGACTGCAGCCTGTCAAAAGCAGTGTCCCTCCTTCTCCCCCCTGGAGTGACAGATGACTCTCTCCAATTCACCCAGACAAAATTACAAAACACTGGCCAGAGCTCAGCTGTTCCCTGAGGGAGTAGATAACATGCTTAAAGTTAAATGAAGACTGAATGTAATGTTAGGTTCTTAATGAAAACAGTCTGTTTTATTAATTTGTGTACAAATGTAAACTATAACTGTGGGGAAACGGAAATGAAGGAAGTTTTCAAGAGCCTCCGCAAGTGTGTCGACTGGCTTCGAGGGGGAGGGGGGAGGGCTCTTATCTACACAGTTATACTGTAAAATCCTTTTTGGCTCCCTGCACAAAGACAAAGCGCCTACTGTGTTGTGAGTTCAAGTCCTGCCCTAAAACCTTTGCCACATACCCCTCTCTCTATCTCTATCTCTATCTCACACACAGACACACACAGGCACACAGGCACACACACACACACACACACACACACACACACACAGACAGACACACACACACATTCACACACACACATTGCTTTAAACAGCCATTAAACACTTCAAAAATAAAAGCTGCTGCCATGAAAACCTTCTGTATGTGTAGCTCTGACAGGATAGGAGTCATATCCTAGTTTTTTCCTGCCTTCAATTAGTCAGGCACGTTTCCTGTTTGAGATGCTGCTTTTCCCTTCACTCTGCGGATACATCTGCTTAGTCAGAACATGATGGATGTGTGTGAATGAATGAGACAGAGTGAGATCCTCTCATATTCAATCTCTCACATATTCTGCATTTGGCTCAAACATTACTGCAAATCCCTGTGTGGAGATGATAAAAGTACAATGAGCTATCAGATAAGAAGGTAGTGTTGTGAGGCCAAAGGAAAGGAAGTGAGAGGAGAGATGAGGTGGGGTGGGGCTTTTCATGCTGAGGTGCAGATATGGCCAGACTGTCCTTAGGCCCTGACTTCATCTATGAGGCTTACACTGGGGATGGATTGCAGGCAGGCCTACATGCTGCAGTTGCCCTGGCAACATACAGCAATGAAGCAAGGGTATCTACAGACACCAGCAAAATCCTTGTTTCCTCTCTGCTTAGAATGCAGCTCTCTCTTTTTTCCTTCCACCTCCTCTCATTTCTTCCCCTCCCTCCTTCGCAGTCTCTCTTTTTATCCTCCATTTCCTCTTTTTATTCACTCCCTCTCTTGAACAAAACCTGACCACCGGCACGCTGCTGATGTCATGGTTGCCATAGTGACAGAAGCCTCACAGCAACAAGGCTGTGCAGAGAGGGTGAGGTCAGGGGGAAAGGTAACTATGGGTCACTAATGTAAGAATTCTTTTTTCTACATGCTTCACATGCTGAAGAGTGCACATATGAAATTATTTTTTTTCCTGGATATGAAGACTGTGTAATCCTGCTTTCGTAAGTGTCCTGTTTTGCACAATGTCCTGTCTGACAAAATCTTAAACATAGCATGCAGAGGATCTAGAAGCAAAGCAGGTTAAAATAGATGCTGTAGTTATGCGTTTCACATTAATAATTCTCCACTATACACAAAGAAACAAAGAAATTGTGTACAAATGTGTACAGAAATGTGGCGCAGTGACTAGTTTGTGCAGTCTCGAAACGTCCGCTTGCTTTGGGGCATGTCTGCTGAGTCATGTTCCCAACCATCTACACCTCAACTGGATTACCTGTCTGTTTGGTACACTGGGGGGAGGATATGAAGAGAAACAACAGAACAGACAAGGTTGTCAACTGAATATTCTGAGACCAATATACTCTTTATGGACTTGTGCTGTACTCATCAAATATTATTTCCATTTGTGCAGACAGGACAAAGAAATGTCTGTATGATGCAATGCTACTACAACTAAAGCTGGTATTCACAGAATGTCAGAAACACTTTCAAGCAAATGGTTTTTATAGTACAAAGAAAAAAAAGGGGAGGCCCATTGAGGCAATACAGGTGAACAGCAGTGTAGCTTGTGTGGTACTATTGTTATACCAGTGGGTGGATATATTAATGTTAGAGTACCGTGTTGATGTAAACGCTCATTAATTTGGGTGTATGATTAACGGTTGCAGGAGAGACCTCTCTGTGGGATGGTCAACAGCTTGTAGGAATGCTGGGGTTTTCATTACACAAGACATAAACTTTCACCTTCCTCACTGGAGCTGCTCCCTGAGGGCTGCAGCTGCCATGTATGATCACCTAACTGAAATATATGTTATGAGTATAAGCTGGGTGACGCTTGAGTACATGTACTTCAGGGTCCATATTTTGCTTTGTGTTGTCTATAAAGCTAAACTGATGTAAGCCCAACATAAATGTGTTTCCTTTAACAATGCACTATGCATAATTTATTCACTTCTAATGGTTATTCTTTCCTGATTGAAAATAATCTCCTTTATTCACATTAACAACACAATACAGTTCTTTAAAGAAGCAAGACACACTAAACTTGGCAAAATGCCTCAACCTGATCAAACATGCTTGTAACATCAACCTGCTCTTCAACAAATGTGAAATTATCACTTGTGCTACACATTACATAACCATGCAGCCACGCCAATGTCAGCTTGCGCCCTAAACCTTCAAAGATTTAAACAGAAAAATACACCTCAATGTCTAAATGTGTACAACATGTTTAAACAATAGTAACTAAATAAATAATGCTGAACTTAAAACTGTGGTAAAAATATAGTCTGAGTCATTGTGATTATGCTCCATGCCTCTCCTGTGTACCTCTGCTCACAGTGCACCTGGCAGTACCACTGGATTAAATAAATCCTCCTTCATGTACACATGCCACATGAAGAGAAAATATGTTGCCACATAGGATAGCTAAAGCTGTATAAATCACTCTTTCCTGCTAGCAGCTGTAAACCCTAAAGCTCTTACACAGACCCTCAGTCTCCAGCTAAGGGCCTGGTTAGACAAATGAAACTGTCTGACCAGACAAAGCAATATGTCCATCTCCGTCGTCAAATATCTGTGTGCCCTGAGTTTGCAAGGAAGCACGGTGCCCCCACCCTCCTTCTGAAAAACATTTAGCCTATGACGAATGGAAACAGCCAGCCTCAGAGTTTAATTTGGATAATCTATCAACACACAAGCTCCCTTTGTTCCATTACTCCACCAGCGTCAGACACCATGTGACCAATCATTTCATAATTGGGCACGCTGTAATCGCACTCCTGAAAAATCCCATGTGAATTTATCTCCTCTTTGACTACTTGTTTTCATCCCCTGGTTTCTGCATCATTTAGACGTTTTTGGACGGATGGGTGAGAATTTGGTGAGTAACATGGCGTTGTAACCTCACCTGAATCATATACAGCTGGGCGATACGGTACTCCTCCACACTCATGGGCATGGGGATGCGATACTCCTTGATAAGCATGATGAATCTTGAAGAAAGGGGGAAGGGGGATCCAGGGGAAGACTGACAAGGGAAGGGGAGAGGGAGGGACAGAGGGAAGGGAGGGGGAGAGGGGACAGGAGAGACTCCGGGAGCTCCTATGTGTGACTCTTCAAATCACCAGCTGAAGTCCACATTGATGGTTCCTGTGGAGGACGACGCAAATGAAAGCATGAGGTACGTAAGATGTAAATATATTTGAAAATAAATACAAGAATCTGATCAGGGATGTTTGTTATAGTCAAAGCCAAAGTCATGTAGTCATAGTCAAAACATGATGTTCAGCCTGATGGTGGATCTCAACAATGGTTCTTCAAACAGGTCTCAACATACATCACACAAATGCAGAAACCAACTTCAATCAGCAACAAAATTCATTATGAGCAAAAGGTAACAGCACACAGACTAATTTCAGAAGCTGCAAGATTCCTATATTCATAACCAAGGACAAGCATTCATTCTTTTGGCTCACGCACAGATGAAGAAAAGAGAGGAGCTGGAGCATCATTCAGAATATGTGCTCAATGTAGTTACTGTATGTCTGGTCCAAGCCTTGGCATCCAGGACGAGCATCAGCGTTGTGTCTCCATCTAGCATTTCAGATCCAAGTAAGGCACTTCCCAGGATAAACTTCTCTTCTTATACACAGGCCACAGCTCAGTGTGTGTGTGTGTGTGTGTGTGTGTGTGTGTGTGTGTGTGTGTGTGTGTGTGTGTGTGTGTGTGTGTGTGTGTGTGTGTGTGGCCGGTGTACAGAAAGCACCCGTGCCTTGTTGACGGTCCCAACAGCCACCCTGTCTTTCCCAGGACTTCAGCACCATCACATGGGGGGCTCACTCAGCATAAGAGGGATTACGGTTTGGTGGGGAGCATTACATAACATTGTAAGAGCCCCCTGTGCATGATTGAGGTTTCACAAATAGCAGTCTTAGAATTACACAAAGCATTGTTTTCAAACCACTGGGCAGATAGGGGTAGGTGTGGGCTATACATACACAACGTGTGGGTGGCGTGAGTTGCAGAAGTCTGCTTTGACCGCTGTGGGAAGAACAACTCTCCAAAGCAAAGCAAGTACAAAACAAGATCATGACTGTACAGCACTGTACTGTGCTGTAGTGGGAGTTTATCTAAATTAAATATCACAGGTGTCAGATGAGGTGACACATTAACTGAAGAGGAGTCAATAACGAAGGGGAAATATCCACTAGTTGAATGAACTCTTCTGTCAAAATGAATGATGGCACACACAAAGTAGCTCATTATTATTTTTTTTTTGTCTTAGAGGGGAAAAAAATGAACACTGTTACAGGCTGAATGAGTGGTTATGTTTTTATATATTACATTTTGAAAAAAAAGCTTTACACCTGTTAATAATTAAACAACAAAGATTTAAAGGTCAAGTTAATGAAGGGATAGTTCAGTCTGTGTTCAGATATGACTGATGGAAGCACAGTGGACAGGATCTTAGTCACAGCTGAGGAGATTGTACTGTATTGTACAGTATGTGTGAGGGAAGACAACAACACTTTCCAAATGTGACTACACAGCATTGCATAACCCCAATATTCACTCTTTTCTGACCTATGGCAGCAACTGGACCTCACTCTGGAACCCAGTCAATCTGTCTAATCACACTGATATTCCCACTGCGTCATTTATCCAGTGAACAAAGGCCAGCTTTGGTGAGGGTCTTGGTCCTCCACCTATTGAGTGCTCAGCTCCGCAACTCTGCACTGAAGACACATTCACCTAATGTGTCTGACACACTGCCAGGACAAAGATACAGCCTGTCCAACCTGGACCAGGTGCTCTCTGGGAGGTGCTCTGGTGAAAAGAGGGTAACTTTGTTTTCAATACATTTTACATAATATCTTTGCTTTACATAGAAGAATGCAATGACAAAATCAGAGCAGAACACCACGTTTTGCTGAAAATAACTGCACTCTTGGGAAAGGCTGGGATAGAACTAGGCTAGCTAGAGAGGCCCAAAGAAAACCTTGTAGCTCAGGAGACTCAGAGGCCTCTAGGTGTTAGAGCCAGACTATAGAGAGGATGGTCACAGTGCTCATCCTTGTTGACAGTGTTGATGATAAACAGCTTCACAATCTACTTGAAGCATGGTTCAACAATGTGGCAACAGCTTGAATGTGGGTTGCAAGTGATGCCGTAACAAACTTTTGAGTGTGTCACAGAATTGCTCTTGGCCAGAGATTCCGGATGTAACATCTGTGCTGACTGGAAGTCCCTGAGTGTGACATGGTAAGACAGACTTCTGCTGTCTGATTATCTGCCGGAGAATGACCACTGTATGAATCAAAGCTCAGCCAGCTGCCACCGACTGGCAACCCACATACAAGGAAGTGACACCAGGTATGCAAAGAGAGACGGGGAAAGCTACAGGCAGCATAACAGAGGGACGCCGTACAGTCATAGCATTACTCTATCCAGCAGCATGTATTAGGAGCCTGCAGTGATGATAGTGTACAGGGATGTGTAAAGATGCTGGTGCATGCAAATTATGTTACCATTTTTTTATTGATCAATTCATTTTTAGTCAGTAAAATGTCAGGAAATGATGAAAAAGTCTAATGACAATTTCACAGGACAATATATTCAAATAGCTTGTTTTGCTCACACAACAGTCTAAAACTGATGACAATGAATTTTCAATATCATCAATTAGGAAAAAATAGCAAATCCTGACATATGAGAAGCCTGAGCCAGCAGATGTTTGGTATTTTTCCTGAATAATGATTCAAAATATATATATATATATTCATGTTAAATTCACGTCAACATTTGTTGATGCTACCCCTTGCATTGAATGACTAGCCTGGACAAAAACATTTAGAAGAGACATAAACATTTGAAAGGAAATCTTGTTAAGCAGAGATTTTATGTTCATTTTAGTTTCAGCTTTCCCGTCCTCACAATCTGTTGTTCGTGTCGAGATAAACCATTTTTATGTTTAGTTTAGCACTGTTTTTTGTGAAATATGAAAATCTTGCAGCATACTGTTTTTCCAGTCCATCTGTCTCTTCTCTTCTGGCTCAGGGGAGCAACAGCCAAACATGGACATAACCAAACTGGCTCCAGCAAAAATGTGTCTGTTATATATTTTGTCTGTGTTTATTATAAGTGTCAGTTTGTGATGTGGATACTTCAACTTAATTAAGTGATAACACAGCATGTACATATTTATGCTTTATGGCTGTGACTTAGATTTAGTATGCAATGATATGCGATAGATTCATGAGGCCTTCTGACTTCTCCACAAATATAAATCAATATGTCCCCTTTAAAGCATTAATGCAGTCTCAGATCTATCCTGAAACGCCATAACTCCCTGATGTTTAAACCTGTATCTCTCCGACTCTTTCCTTTGTGACTGATGCAGATGCTGTGCACAGCAAAGGACCTGTAATGCCAATCCACCAGCAGCCTCGAGAGAGTACTGGCACCATGCTTGACCCAGAAAAAAGCCCTCTCACACACAGAGCTTAAAAATAGCCCGGTCACAATAATCCTAGCATACGCAAGCAGAGTGCTTGACGTTGTTTGTTCAGAGAATATGCTCATTCCCTTCTAAAAATACAGTCTCTGCCCCCCTCTAGGCACTGACGCAATAGCAGCACACGCCAATGCACAGCGCTCATCACAAAGCAGCCTCCAATGTTTCTGCTCCTGTTTCAACAAAACTGAAGCCAACGATAGCTACAAGATACTTTGAGTGGGACTGAGTTTTGTACCTTTGCCCAACACAGTTTTCTTAGTCTGTTGAATGCGTGGCCAGCTGTGGCAGGACCGTGCACCCTGAGGTGTATAATGCTGCAACCACCTCATCTGTGACCCTCTCAGAGGGTATGATGAACCATCAGAGGTCCTCCAGGCAAGAGCATGACTGTTTAAAATCACAGGTTATTTACTTTCATATCTATTTCAAAGCTGAATTGGACAGTAGAAATTAGCTAAAAGCAGGTCAGTCAATCTACTGGAACCAGAACCAGAAAACATGATGTTTAACGCCACAAGAGCCATGAGGACGGTGCATGTGAACACAGACGCATCTATGTGACTACAAGAGCTGGCATAAACAATCAAGCGCTCGAAATGTGCACATCTGCTCACCTCTAAACAGGGATAAGTGTCTGACTTAAACAGATGAAAGTGCTTACTCCACAGAGCAAAGACTGGATTATCCATTACAGATCAGAGGCACTTGCTTCCACCTAAACATTAAATCTGCCTTTCTGAGATCCATTTTCCTTGCTATCCCAGGCTGTTCTGAAGCACAATAATGGAAAGTTGTATTACTAATTCTGTCTGATGGTACAACATATAGCTTAGGACTGAAAGCTATATGCACAGCAAACAGGTTGGCCACAGGACAGGAAGCAACAGCTGGGTCTTGGTGTCGACAAAAAGTAGAATACTGTTTGGGGGGGGGGGCTTTTTCCCAAAGGCCACAATGGTGGCGCTTCTTTAAATTTAGCCATGTTTTCACTTTGAGGTGGAGCAACAGAGGAGGTGGTGAATCCCAAGAGAGCTGGAGGCGTGGGGGGTCAGGAGGGTTAGTGGTGGCAGGGGCAGGAGTTCCCTCATGACTGACCAGATGCAAGACCCTTTTAAAATACAAGTGGAAAATATTAGCCCCTGGACTGCCTAAAATACCATGGATCCGTTTCACACGGCGTTGCCTTGACATTGCAGAGACAACTTCAGCTATGACAACCGCTGCAAACACAGCCTCAGCCTGTGACAAGAACCCTTGATTGAGCTGATGGGTTTATCCACCAATCCAGTTAAAATGTCAAAAGGCTTAAGACAATGCTGTTCGTGCTGGGCTGCGTGCACTATGTGGCCAGATCGTGATCTGCGATGACCAAAGAGGCCATGAAATATATTTCAAACAAACATACTGTAGAAATATTAGACTTCTCTGTCCCATGGAGTATCTATTAAGGGCAAAATATAAGGCATCATTAATCAGCGTTATAACTGTAATGAATATAAAACAATTTCGCACAGATTACTGAATACAAAATTGCGTTACACCCTATAAGATCTGCCCCCCTTAGGGCTTAATGAAGAATAAGAAATGCACCCTTCCCTCCAGACTGAATACTTTTATTCTCATCTACAAAACT